ATAGAAATACATACAGTTTTTTGCGGCAGCACCCAGAGGCGCAGCTACATGGAAATATGTAGCGGCAAAGACTGGTAAGCGTGCCACAGAGAATAAGAACTTAAACTCTTGAACAAAGCATGAATATTTTTTGGGATCTGTGTTATATATAGTGAATATGATTACATGAGAACACAATTTGCTTAAGCCTATCCTGGGAAGGGCTTAGTAGTGGGCGTGGATGGCGGTACACAGGACACCTGACATATTACAATGACAATGAATTACTCTTACACATTAATCAATAATAAGAAGCAAATGATAGAAAAATGTTATTTGCTCATGCGACTATAATTAATTTATACATAAAACAGTCTTGAGCGCAGCGCAGCTGGGCGCCCAATTTCAATCCTTAAATATCCCACGCGCCTTAGCTGATATCTTGCGCACGCGTCCCCGGCTGCTGACGCTCACCAGTTGTTCATCACTTTCCGCCGTGCTGCTGTTGCCATCCTCCGTGCGTTGCTGTTCCTCACGTTCTTGTGAGCTATTGTTGTTGTTGGTCGCCGTATGAACATCGCCATTGCGTAAGCGCTTGCGCTGACTGTGCCCCTGATTTTGATCGTCCTCATCGGATTGCTCATTGTAGCGCGGACGTTTCTGATTGCGACCGCTGCGCTGATTGCTACGTAGCCGATTAGGTCGACCACGCGGAGCCTCATAATCATCATCATCGTCATCGTTAAAGGACTGATCAGAAGTGGCACGAAGCTGACGACGTTGGCGCTGTTCGCGTCCCTGTGTTGCGGTCGCTGCCGATGAGGAAGAGGTTTTGGTTTTACGTGATGTGCGTCCATTGCTGGGCGATACGTAGCTGGTTAAGGGCTGATTGTCTTCAGAGTCTGTGGCAGTTGGTTCTTCATCATCATCGTCGTCGTTGCTGCCTTGAGAGCTGGAGCCGCCATCAGTGCCTTCGTCTGACGCAGCGGCCTCCTCTCCATCAGGCAATTCCGCCGCTTGATCGTCTTCCGCTTCGCCCTGCGAATGCTCCTGACTGTTACGGGAGCGCAACCGTCGCGTTGTTACACTGTTTGTTGTGGAGGTGGGACGTCTGTGATTGGACATTATAGACAGCAGACGCGAACTATTCAGCGGATCATTGGTAGTGTCCAATTCATCCGCATTGCGCTGATGACGTGATAATACGCGCCGAGGTGCACGCGAGGCCGCCGCTGACTCGCTGCCCAAATAGTTGTGATCATGCGCAGCCATTGGCGGCTCCAGCTGATTGGAGCTGTTGGTAGTTGATGTAGCGTGGGAGCGCGTCATATGCATACTACGTGGCACAGAGGGCAAACGGCGACGCAAAGTCAACGGATGAGGAGCAGGTGTGCTGGTCTTTGCAGGTCCAGTGGCAGTTTCTGTGAAAAGATAATAATGCATTTCAACTTCAATATTGGGATAAGGAAATTTGTTGTAACTCACTTTGCTGGTTATTAGCCAACGGCTCATTATCACTGTCATCATCATCATCGCTTTCCGCGGCAGCTGCTACCACGGTATTGCGATTCGTGCGCAGCTGACGTGCTGATGTGGCAGCACCGGCGACTTGACCTAAGGCAGCCCGGCTAGTCGAGGGCATGTCGTCCTTTGTGGGTGTGGGTAGAATCTAGGTTTAAATCAAGACACATATTGAACATGTTATTGTATTATATATTATAATATTATATTTCCATTAACTCACCTCTTCAGCCTCTTCGCTTTCATCGTCCTCCTCCTCTTCGATATCACTGCCGCGTGCCCAATCCATGAGCGCACGTTTTGCGCTCTGCCTTGTGGGTCGACCAATTGGTCCATGTGAATCTGTATCCGAGTCAATAATGCGACCATTACGAACGGGCAGATGATAGCTGTGATCATTTTCGGCAGCATTCTGTGATCGTCCGCCGTTGGCGCGCGTATTTCGGGAGGGGCTCTCGAGACTGGAACCGGCTGATACAGCAGCCGCACTAGTACCCGGCCCATTTCCAGTAGCCGTTGCGCTCTTGTTTTTCGCTGGTCGACCTTTCTTGCGCGGTGTCTGACTGTCCTGAGTGCTATCATCTGGTTGGGAATGAGAGGCCTCCGCCTGATGTTCGTCCTCGGAGCTTCCTAACAAGCGGCGTGTGCGACGAGTGGGCGCCACAGTAGCACCACGACTAGCACCAGGCTGACCAGTCTGATCCAATTGGTATCTTTTGTTGTTGTGATGGCGCCGGCTGTTGGCCTTGCGCTTTTTGCCCCCACCACCGCCTGCACGACCACGTCGCCGCTCGTTAGGGTTGTAGCTCTCTTCCGAGTCGTTGGCATTGGTCTCATCATCACTGACATTCTGGCGCGCTACTCGACCGCGGCGACGACGTGTCTGCTGCGGCGAGCTGCCATTGGAGTGCGCTTCCTCATCCTCATTCTCATCGCTGCTAGCATCCGAGGTCGTTTCCTCCTCCTCTTCCTCCTCTTCGCTGTCCGAATTGCTGCTGCTCTCGTGGCGCCGCTGCTGCGGATTAGACGACGATGATGTCACACGATTAGAGCTCGAAATTGTGGCACTAACGGCTACGCCATTGCGACGCCTGCTGCCGCGCTGAGTGCCACGCGGCGCCTGCTGCTGCGGCGCGACACTATCATCGTCATCATCATCGTCGTCGTCGTCCTCATCTTCCTCGCTCGTGTGCGCTGGTAGCCTTCTGGCAGCGCCAGGCGGCTTTTGTGTTCGCCGTGTGGTCCGATCCGTAGGCGTTCGTTTGCTGGGGCTGCTAGAGCCGCGTCCACTGCTGCCGGACTTGTTCTTGTTGGCGCGTCTGCGGGCCGCCTTCCAACTGCTAACCACCGTCTTGATGTGCGACTCGAAGAGGGCACTTAAACGCAATGTCATTGCATAGATCTGTAAGAGAATAAATAAGAGCAATTAGTGAGATGAGCTCCAGAATTAAAGACAATTAATGGGAGTTGAGTTATGTAGAAGTAGTAGCCCAAGAGCAACCTTACCGCTAAGTTATCCTATTTTAGTTGATTGTCACGGATCGTCATTCATTTGGTTTAGTTCGAAATATTTGATGGGTTTGGATTGATTCGAGTGATTCGATTGATGGTTTATGAGTTGGGTGGTAGTTAATTTTTGAAGTTTGAAGGCATGTTAACAAATTGCAAAAGAAACGTTAAGAGATGAGCTAGTGTGTGAGCTTGTGTGGTGTTAGCAGTGCGGGAAATAGGATAGATAACGAAACAAATTGGATTTCTACTCATTTAAAAACCAATATTAAATAACAAATTATGAAGATCATAATTATTTTGTGTCGGTGTGATTAATATCCCATCATTATTTATATTAAACAGTACGGGAGTTTTGTGAAATCCAAAAGAGAATGAAATTAATACGTAAACGTAAGTGCAGAAAAATAGAAACTAACCCATACAAAATGAAAGTTATATAAAAAATTAAAGAAAATTGGAATATTATCCTTACAGATCGCAGGAAGAAGTACGATTTAATGGTAATCTGAGCCATATAATAGTGTTGTCTCTACTACTCAATACACACGATAAAAATAATCATTTATTAAAGTAACCTCAAAAAACTCATTATATAAAAGTTTGGTCAAGATATCTTTTAAAACAAAGGTTTTTTATACAGATATCAATTTTCGACCGATTATTCCCATGCCAAGCTTCATAAAAAATTGCTTATAATTGGCTTACATAAAAAATTATTTTTAAATTAAATATTTTTTTCAAAAAAGTAAAGTAAAAAAGTATTATGAAAAAAAAATCATATATATTTGTTAAGCTTGTAGAATATATAAATAATTGGTTTAATAATTTACTCAAACGATTCTTCGGCATTTCAAATCAAATTAATAAATATTGAAAACTATCCGTTTAGCTATTATTAAGGCTCATAATACCCAAAAACAAAGCAACAAAATCACAATAAGATTAACTGCAATGACAATTGCGCTTGATGCGCATTTGGCATTGGTTTGAAATAAATGACGATCTGTAGCAGTACCCAGATCCAGCCAGGGGACTCACCCGTGAGCGTTTGTTGGTATTGTAGTTCTTAGAATTGAGGAATATAAGGCGCACATCCTTGGCAAAATCTAATGGATCATCGTAATTGCCGCCCAGTAGATCCTCTTTGACTGTACGCAGATCCATCGGTGTGGCAATGATTTCCAGATAATCCGGAAACTCAATTGTATCGACTGGCTCACGAAATGGTAATGAATCAGGCCGCTGCCACATCATATCCAATAGTTGCCGGCAATCAGAGCGCCAGTCGCCATCGGAGCGTATACGATTCGACCTGTAATCAATTCACTTTAATATTTAAATATAAATTAATAAGGGTTGTTGTGCTTGCCGTCGTGTCGACGAAACGCGCTGGCGGGCAGCAGCTGCTGAAGTGGTTGGACCGGTGCTGGTCGATGGTACAACATCCGAATCAGCTTCGTTTTCTGACTCTGATGAGTGATAAACGTCCACTAGTTGATGATAAACGGCCGCTACGTCTATTTCATCCGCTTCTCTGTTTGAAGTTAAACGTTAAGTTAATGAATTAATGGAACCATTTTCGAAAACCGTATGATAGCGAGAAATTATTGTCAACATATATCTCTTACCTAATGATACGCAGACACAGATCAGTCACAATCCGCGCATGCTTTACGATGCTTGTGTGCCGGCGATTGTATTGCTCCGCATTGGTGGCTAGATAGCGGACATCAAACTGTGCCGAGGTTATACGACGATAGAAGTGATTCTCAAAGCGCGATTTGACCGTTGTTAAATCGATGGGATACTCAATTAGATAGGCATAATCTGGATAAATGTTAAGGTCGACTGGCGCCAGAAAATGCTCCGCTATAGACAAACGCATGACCTGAAAGAGACGAAACAAAAGTAATTAAAGTTGCATAATTTATATTATTTTTTGCTGTTTCATTAGTTCATCATTTTTAAAGTAAATAGTAGGCGAAAATGGATCTTTTATTTTTGTTTTAATAAAACGGTAGTCTCCATTCGAATTTAAGACAGAAAACATCGGTTTAAATAACAAAGTTTAAATTCAATTGTACTAAGCAAGTGGCTTGTTCGAAGTATCAAGACTTACAGGAGATGGTAAAAATATTATTGATTTATTTAATCATAGAAGGTTTGTGATGTGTTCCATTATCTTTTCTAATTTAGATATATTCTAACTGATTGCAACTATATTTTAATATTCAATTTAAAAGGGAGTTCGGAACTGATGATTGATGAAGTTTATATAGTATTGTGCAGTGGACTTTGTTTTTGATCAGTAAAGATGAAAACTCGCATAGAAGCGCGTTTACTATTCATAAATACTTTATGTGAATGCTTTTCTTTCAGTTATTGCTCTTCAATTTGGATATTTGCATTTGTCGGCTGTACATGAGAACTTACCTGCTCGAGTCCATTGATAATGCGACGACACGTGCCATCGCGATCGCCCCGATGCCATTCCTCGGACTTCGGCTGATATAGGGTGGCGCGTATCTCTTCCGGCAGTACGGGTACAGCACCGCCCACTTCATCTGGCAGCCGCTGCTCATCGATGGGCTCCATATCCCAGGGACTCATGTACTCGTATTCACCATTATCCCAGCGCACGCGGAAACACATAAAAAATGAGTCGGGAAAATCGGCACTAAGCGCATGACGCGACTCAATCTGGCCCATCCACCAGCCGTCGCCGATCATACAGCGAAATCGATCGGAGATACTCCAGTTGCGCTGCGCCGCCAGATCGAAGGTCTGGCGCAGTACAAGAAAGTCCAGTACATCGGGCATGTCATGGTACTTAATCTTAAATGTGGTGCCCGTCATGTTGCCCTCGTCATCGATGATGGCAAGTTTGAGGCAGCATAAACGCGGCGGACGAATCTCGTATTTAATGCCAATCACACGTACCAGCTCATGATCGCGGAGTGTTCGAAAATTCCAGGGCTCTGAGCTGTGCGACAGCTTGTAGACCTTTTTAAGACGTACCGCCTCCAGATAGCGCTGATGGCCCTGGCGAAAGTAAACAATCTCGTCGCCCATTTGTGGATAGTAGGGCGCCTTGCGTGGTATCACCTCCGATAGCCACTCGGCTGGACGGTAAAGCTCAGGGATTTCGCCATTAGGTGTCGTTGGTGGGATGAGGACACGTTTGCGTCCACGCTTTTTATTGCTGACTGCTGTATGTCCTGGCGCCGCATCATCGCTGCTGTCATCGCTTATAGTGCGACGACGCGACAGTGGTTTGCGCTTGGAGCGCTTCGGTGGCTCAAGATTTGGTCCGGGCGTATCAGCCACCCAGTCCGAGTAATCGGAACTATCTGTTTCTGATTCATCGCTGCTATCCTCTAGATTCTCTTCCACATTCGAGTAGCTGGTGTCACCCGAGCTGTTGCTGCTATCATCCTCTTCTTCCTCCTCATGTGCAGCGGGCGCAGCTGCATCATCATAGTGCTCCTCCTGACCACGCACAGCACGCGTACGATACGCAGGTTGTTGGCCACCTTGCTGCTGTTGACCAGATTGTGCGCCACGTCTACGCCCTGGCCGTCCGGCACCGTTAGATCGCGTATTGCGTGGCCTGCCGACTCCAGCCAGCAGCGCCGAAGCTGCACTTGCCGTATTTATCATTATGGGACGGCGACGCATCTCACGCTTGTATTCCTGCATCTCGTACTGGCCGATCGAATATATGGTCTGCTTGAGGTTCTGCAGTTGGGCATACTTCATGGGACGCACGTAGGTGCGACGCACAAATTTTAAAGGCATTGCTTGTTGGGCAGGTAGTGCCAGCAGAGGTTCGACCTGCGCCTGCTCAGCCACAGCTGGCGCCGCAACCGGCAGTGCTGCGGCCCAACCCTGACGAGGTGTGCCCTCAGCTAGAGAACGACGCCCGCCTAGCACGTTACCACGTTGCGGGGTGTTGCGCGAGGAATTTGAATCGGGCATCTGGTCCTGACCCTGGCGCATGATTAGGCGCTCAAATGACTGATTCGCATTGTTAGCATCGTTGGCGTTGGAATTGTTACCCTGACGATTGGCAAGTGCAGCAATCATACGATCGATATGTGAATAATTCCCGCCTGCGCCAACTGCTCCTGCGGCTCCCCCTCCCACTCCAACAACAGGAGCAGCAGCAGGTACAGGAGCTGCTGCAGCATTCGGCGGAGCATTTATATTATCCTCGATCACAATCCCGTCAATTCCTACGGTAAGATTGGGTATCAGCTGATCCGTGCTGCAGCTTTCACGGCCGGGAACAAACCGCTGATACTTTGTCGGATGGGGATTGCCATCGGCGTCTACCAGAAATGGCGGTGGCATTAAATGCGGCATTATCTGTGTTTGCTCATCCACCACGTGATGGTGTGCATCACGAAGCAGCGGTCGAAAATCCGTGTGAAAAAAGAGCTCTGTTGGCAGCTAAAATCAAAAAGTGGGGATTTTAAAGCGTTTATAAACTTATTTAATCTTCAACATACCAATTTGTACTTATCGGTGCCAATACCAAGGCCAAAGATCAGTATGTGACCATGTGAATCGGTGGCCGCTATCATGGTGCCATCCGGTGACCATTTGGCATCGAACACGCTACCATGTCCCTGGCCATCGATGTCATTAAAAAACTGGGCCACACCCACGCCCTGCTCAATATCCCAGAGAAATACCTGGCCATCATGGCCAGCAGAGAGTAAAACATGCTCATCCCTTGGATTCGATTCCAGCACATAGAGCTCATCCTTGTGACCACGCAGTACGCGATGCAACTTGGCTGATTTTGAATCCCAAATTTTAATCTGTTGAATAAAGTAATAAGTTATTGCCGAATTGATAATTGCTCAGATATACGCACAGTAAAATCATTGACTGCCGTAATGACATAACGATCTGAAGCATCCCAGGCGACCATTGTAACCTTTAATTTCTTGCCTTCTTCCGGCTCTGGACAGCTGAAAAATAAGTAGTAAAATAAAATCTAATATCGACGCGGATATCAGCTGGAGCAAACCTTGGCAGCCGTTCGGTCATGCATAGTTTAATGCTCTTCCACTGCTGCGACTCAAAGGTCCAGACGTGGGCTGTGCCATCCTTGCTGCCCGATATGAAACGCAACCCACGATGCGACCACTGGACTGAATCTACGGCATCTGTGTAAGCCTCTGTTTCTAGAATACGCTTGGGCCCATCTTCGGCCATCATATAGACGCGCACATGATGATCTGCAGAGCCGGCGGCCAAAAACATTCCTCCCGGCGAGAACGTGGTGCACATCATTTGTGCCTGTCCTGGTCGCAACTTTTCGTGGTATTGTGTGGGCCTCGGTGCGAATGTTATCTTTTGGCCACGTGGCGTCGAATACTGCCAGAATGCAATCGAGCCATCTGTGCTGGTTGTCACCAAATATTTTAGATCGCTTCGTGGTGATGGACAAAAGTTAACGGAAGTTATCATGCCCGTATGGGCGGCAAGAACTGCTATTGGTGAAGTTGTTTGCATGTCCCAGACGCGCAAAATGCGATCAACCGAGCCCGCAGCCAACATTGTGTTATCCAAATTAATGGCAATATCGGTAATTTCTGCTGAGGCACCGCGCAGCGTAGCCAACAGACGCCCATCCGCAGCGGACCAAATCTTGATCAGCAAGTCATCAGCGCCAGTTATTATGTAGCGACCAGTGCGATCAAAGAGCACACAATATACCGACGACAAGTGGCCAACAGTGCGCCGCAACAGCTTGGTCTTCCGATAAAGATCTGTCGGCACCAGTAGCTTACGACGCACCACACCCCCATGTTCGCGGCCGGTAATTACCTTGGCTACAAGTATATTTACCAAACGCATTAATTGGTATTCTTGTTAATAATTTTAGCTGCAACTCACCTAAATTGTGTGTGGGCTTTGTGAGTCTCGAATCTGGCAATGATATGCCATGGAGACGTGTGCAATAATCGCGCAGGGTGCGATGCCGGTAGACAGTGTCTTTTGTGCGTAACAAATTTTGACGGCCTGTGCCAAGCAGTGAGGTTATTCCTGGGACGCTCGGCGCCAACTCCTTGTCGACAAGCGGGCCAAGACGACTGCATATTTCTAGCAGATGATTCGGGCCAATGTGCGCGTATTTTTGTTCCTACAATATTTTTAAAATAAACGATTTATCGGAGTCGATAACACAACACAGATGTCACTGAACAGTGCGCAGATGTTTTGTGCGCAAGTATCTTTAGCCGTCTCGCTCTAACGCAGTGATGGTGACTTGTCAAAGGCTTTGCAATACATACATATACACGTATATGGTATGAATGTATGGAAAGCAAGATGTCGGCTACCACAGATTCTTATTAAAAATACTTTGTACATAATTTTAATTAATTTAACAAATTGCTCAAAATTTACTATAACGCACTTAAATATGTAATATTTTAATCATATTTTTACTTTTTTATTATAACTTGCTAATTTTTCATATTATTTTGTCTAACTAATTCATTTATTAATTGAAATATGAATGTTAATTGTTGCATTAAACTAATTTTAATTAATTGCAAAAAATTAATTGTTCAACACATGTGTCTTCAATCAATCGATGGCTATGTGACGTCACAAAGCGCACACGCACGCACACACACAGGCACAGACAAAAACGAAAACAAAGGCGTGAAATCTTAAAACAAATTTCAATTATGCAAGCACAAATCACTAAAAAAAAAAATAGACGCACTAAATCATAACAATCACTCACCAATTCGGCAAAGGTCTGCTCGTGTTCATTGCCCAGCCAGTCAATGCGCCGGGGCAGTACCTGTGGGCAAGGGAAGAAGCGGCAGTCAAAATTTGTTATCAATTGCATTTGCTGGGCAGCAAAATAATGACGTCGCCGTCGGTTCCGTCACTGCCGGGAGCCTATTTTTTTTACCTACTTTTATTATGCGGACAGACAACGGTACGGACAGACAGTAGACAGACGGACTTCTCCCATACTGTCGCACCGTTATGCGAATTCAGTTCAATTTCAGTATAGCTTTGAACTCTGAAATAAGCAGACGGTGCAGGCTGCTGCCGGCGCTACAACAACAGCAGCGACGACGACAAACCAAAACAAAATATATAAACAAACGCTGTTGACTTTCTACATTAAAAATTGCATACCAGAAGAAAATCCTCAAAAAACAAAAAAATCATACAATTTAAATGCGTCACCTCACAACAAACACGAATACTCTGATGCTTACCTTCTTTTGTTCTAATTCTTGCACTAGAACCTGAAAATTGAATATTTGGAAATCGGGTTAGTAAAATGTTTGTAAACAAAAGCGAAATTCAAACGACGAAATTGCGCTCTTTTTGCAGGGTGGCGCTCAACAAAACGCCCGATCACCAACCTTTGCAGTCTCTTCCAGCGGCCCCGCAGTAAGAAATTTGGAAATAAGGAAGTACAATTCTGAAATAGAAGTAATGCGGTACACAATAAATGCAACAAGTTGCTTGGCAAATGCACATAATTATCATAAAATTGCATTTATTTCGGGTCGGCCATTCGCGCAGATTCTACACACACGGGCCCAGGGCACTAAGGCTGAGGCCAGCCAGCCAGCCAGAGGTAGCGTACCTCTTGGACTACGGCCAAATGGACGCCAAATTTGTGCAGATTCATAACCTTTGACAATATAACGCACCTGGCACTATCACATCATTTAAACTGGGCTGCCTGTTTTCCATTATTACACATTTTATTACGAAAGTACAAAATTGTCGCACTGATATTCGCCTGAAATACTTTTTTCAGCTTCTTCTTCTGTGACACTACGAGTTGCCATTCAGGCTACTCCGTTAAGAAAGTCAGTCTGTGCGTTAGCTGTTGAGCGTTCAGTATGTTAAATAACATGAATATTATAAATTGGTATTTTTAAGCTTGTAAAATTTTGGTCACACTGACATTGTGCTGCAGTTGCTAGAAAAATATTATTTTTTTGTAGGTTTTACTTCTCTTTATGTTGTAACAACTCGGCAAAAAGCAACAAAACCCAACATTTAATGCACACACTTTATAACCAGCACATTTGCCAACATGGATTGCAATCTGGGCAGCGAAATTGGTCAGAAGATGCGCGTACGTTTAGTTTTTCTCTTCGCGAAAAATCAATGAACTCGTAATCAACTCGGTTTTTTTTATAATATATTAATATTTCAGAGTGCCGTAAAGGCGAAACTGCTCGAGTTAGGCACTGGCGGCTCTGCCGGCTTCATCGACGACGAGCTGCCCGACTATGTTATGGTAATGGTGGCCAATAAACGCACCAAACAGCAAATGAACGCAGAGCTAAATCTGTTCCTCGGAGATCAGACGGATCTCTTCGTAACATGGCTGCACGAAGTTCTTCAAAAGCTGCAGGAAGTCACGCTGCCAGCATCAAGTGGTGAGTTATTTTATAATTGTATTAATTTACAGCTCACTTTGATAATTTTCTCAGCTGGCAGTAAGAAACGCAAATCACGTCAAGCCGAGGCGCCCAAAGCAAAGGACAAAGAGAAGGATAAGGATAAGGACAAAAGAGGCAAGGACAAAAGGGATAAAAGGGCGCACAGAAAATCCGGCGACGACTTGCCTAATACATCAGTTGATATTACAAAAAGATCAGCAGACTCAATGCCGGCAATTAACTCCATAACGGATGTCTTTGCCGAGGAGCTACTGGAAAAAGCTAAAAAGACGCTCGATATGGATGGTAGCCTGAAAGATGAGCTGCTGCTCAAGAAGAAAAAACGCAAAGCAGCAGAAGATGATGAGCAACCGCAGCCGCAGCCACTACTACAGCCGACAACAAAAGATTTTGATGTACCAACCGTATCAGAAATTAGCTCAACTACCACCAGTGGCAATCGGGAGAAGGATATTGCTGAATTGGCCGAAATTCAGCGTAAAATCTACGCGGCCAAGCAGCATTTGCGCCAGATTGGTGAGCTGGACGATGATGAAAGTGAAGAGGATGAAGGCCAACAGCTTGTCGAGGATGTGCTAAGTCTCAACGAGCAGGATGAATCTGTTGCCCAAGATTCCACTGCTGCTGTTACGGAAGCAGCCAACGCCAGTACGAGCACACGCCGAGCAAAAAGTCCCATTGTGTTTAATAGGACGACCGAACCTGTGGTAGCTAGAGAAAAACCAAAATCCCAAACTGAAACAACATCCCAGCAAAAGTCTAGTGAGGAGCGTTCGGAGCGTCGCTCCGTGCACGAGCGTTTAGGCTGCAAGTCCCAATGTCCACAGCAGCCACAACAGCAGTTAACGCCTCCGGAGCGTCCACAACGCGTACAAAAGGAGCTAGAGCTTTATGTACCAGCTCATCGCCGTCGCAGCGAGCAGCAGCAGGAGGAGAGCAAGAAATTTGAACGTGGCAGAGAACGAATTCATCGCAACGATAGTCAGCCGAGTCGCCGGCGAGAGAGAGACACGTTGCGCAGTCGACGCACACCTAGCCGAAGTCCCGAATCCAACTTCAAGCATCGCATTGGGTCGCGTGTGATTGTGGCAGTTAATAAGCCGCCGGAGCCGTCCGACGATGAGGATCTGCTGGAGAAGCCCGTTAATTCGGTTATCAAGATTAAGCCACGGCCACAGGTTTCGCCGCGGCGCCAAGCCTGCAAGAATCTGCTGCTTCGAGCCGTTGCCGATGCACAGCGATCCACGATCTTGGCCAAAACGACGGTAACGCCGGCAACAGCTGCTGTTGAGGCGTTAAAGCAACGAGGTACTGGAGACGAGCCCGAGCTCATCAGTTCCACGTTAGGCAAACGGCGCTCAAATGATTCAAGTGGAAGTGGAGCTGGAAGAGAGCTGTTCCGGCGCAGCAGGCGGGAACTGGTGGTCAATGTACTGCACAGAGATAGCAAGCGGATGCGTCACTCGGCCGAGCCACATGCTGAAATCAATCTGGTGGCAGAGGAGCTGGAGGAGGAGTATGTGCCCAGCTTGAGCGTTGGAAACTATGAGGCTTATGTGCCACAGCTGGTACACAACGATGCGTCGAAAGTGGACATGGATATTGACATGCATGTGGAAAAAAGTGCCGGAAACGTTAGTGGCTCCACAGCTGGTGTATCCAAAACACAATTTGTAGTGACGCTGAATGGTGATAAATCTTTGGGAAGTGTCCCTACTGCTGCCTATCGGAAGCGTCCACGTAAACGCACGCCTTCCCCGCAAGTATCCTCGACCAGTTGCACAACAGTGCAGTTACTGAGCGCTGAGCCAACCTCAACGACCTGCACTTCCTCAACAAACAACAACAACAGTAGGCGTAACAAATCCAAACGGGCGCGCAGCTCGTCGCGGTCTTCCCCTTCCACATCGAGCAATACGCCGCCACCAAAGCCGTCGCGCAGTCTGCTTCGCAGCGAGGTGCTGAGACAAGCGCCGGAAATCAAGAAGATCATCATTAAGAATGACGCTGAAGACGATGAGGAGGAGCAGCAGTTGCCTGCATCGCCGCGTAAGCATGGTACCCAAAAGCGACAGGGCAGCAACTCCAACATGACCGCCTCTTCCTCCAATGACCTTAAGGCAGACTCAAAAGTTCAGCCAGAGGAGAGCAATCGCTCAACTACGCCACCACTGCCACCAATGCGGCTGCAGAAACGCGATATTAGCCGTGAGAAATCAACAGCGGCGACTGCGGCTGCAACTCCGGCGACATTAGAGGCGCCTGCAAAGGCCAAGCACACGCCCATACGCTTCAAGCTTAAGACGGAGGAGGAGGAGTTGCAGCCGGTAAAGAAACGTCGATCCGGCAGCAAAGAGCGTGAATCGTCCATGGAACGACGGCGAATCTCTATACGCAATGCGGAAGATCGAAAGTACGATAATTTGCCGGCATGTAAGTACCTCGAATTATTTTGTAGTTTTCTCTATGTTGTAGAAGGTAATGCTTACGTGTGGCTGTTAATGTGATGTTAACCGAAAAACATCTTAAACCTAACAGAGACCTAAGTTCTTCGAATTAGCATATCCGTTAATACGAGGACGTTTTGAGACTTAATTTCTAATCGCTGTTTTTTTCCATTTGGAGTGCTCGTTTTGGTAATAAAATTTATATGCCCTAAGCTAACCCTCGGCGGATCGCAAAAACATACCATACGAAAAATATAATACTAACCATTCATAATTCAAACAAGTAATAATGCTCTTCTCGGAGAGCGATCGAAAAGAAGATACCCTATAGCTAATTCAAGAATATCGTTAATTTTTAAGCATTTGGTAATTATTAATATTTTATAAATTAAGTTTATCTAGAAACGGTTGCTAACAGCAGCGACTGCATCCCTAATGCAATAAGCGAGCGTTATTTTAAAAAGCATATTAATTTAATTAAATAATTAAATTTAATATTTTGGATCGCTATTCATAATTAAATTTTGATTTGATTTTGAAATGAAACTGCTATAATCGTGAAAGGCGCAATTACGCATAAGTCAATTTGCTAACATTTTCTCTGTTATTGCTATGGCGTTGAGTTCACCTAAATATACGCATTATAATTTTAAAAATAATAGATTTGTCTACTCATATTTTAACTAATACATTTCGTATGCCTCGTTTTATGCTCAGTAAGCGCCGTCAGTGTGGATTCAACGGTTTTAAAGGTGACGAAACCAAAGGAGCGCTGCAAATACCATCCCAATTGCAGCAAACAATTTTGCGAATATTATCATCCATCGGCACCATGCAAATCCTTTCCCAACTGCAAATTTGCCGACAAGTGCATGTATTCGCATCCAAAGTGTAAATTCGATTTGGCCTGCATGAGCATCGACTGCAACTTTGCGCACAGTGGCAACCGGGATCTGAGTCACGTGCAGCTGGCGGCGCCGCCTCTGTGTAAGTGCAACATGTGGCAAATATTAATCTTATTAAGTTGTAATTAATATATTTTTTATATTGATAGCCTCGCATGTCATACCTGTGCAAAATTACAAATCAATATCCGCACCGGTGACGGCGACCACAGCAACCACCATGTGCAAATATTATCCCAATTGCACAAAGGCGGGCTGCACCTTCTATCACCCAAAGCCATGTCGTTATGGCAAGAACTGCATTAATAAGCTGGAGTGCATATTTTATCATCCGGAGATGCAAAGCAAATTTAAATGGGTGGCGTCACTGGGCTGAGGATAACTGCTCGAACCAGCGCTCATTTTCATTAGCATTTTTTTATTTAGCAGATTGCACACCATTGAAAGTAGCGCAAACTATTCACGAACAATTTTTCTTAAATAATTATTTCTATGCAAACTATGTTTTGTATTTTGGTTAATTTAATTTGTGAACTTTATTTGCCTTTTCATTGCATATTTAATATTTTATATTCTAGACATTAGCTCGCGAAAACATCAACAACAAAACATTGAAATATTAAAACTGTTGTCAATAGATTTGTTGCGCTATGTTTAAAGGCAGACCTGTCTACATCTAAACTGTAAACGTCATATATAAGTCGGTGAATAAAATTTAGCAATGTACTTGCTACAAATTGGATATCAAAATTAGTTTGAGTTTCGCACAGGTTTTGACGAGATATATGGAGTTTAAAATGTTTGTTATAACTCCCTAAACCGGAATAAAAAGTATATATGTACTTCTATATAGAAGTAACGATGAAGTATAAGTGAATATTTGATAAACATTTGGATTCTATTTCACCAATTGATAAATAAAATTGAGTGCCAGACACCTGCCTTTAAAAGTAAACTACGAGTGACTGCAAATTGCAAAATATGACAGTTCACTTGTATTACCAGCATATTTAATAAATGTGCAGGTCTTCCAATATAACCCAATCTACATATAAATTTATATGCCCAAATTACAAAAGAAACTTTTTCGTTTATTGTTTGTATTTATTATCTTTTCTTTGAAAAAAAGATATGTATGTCGAAATATTTAATGTATGTATAGTACAGTCTCTTAAGTTTACGCTTAAAAATTGTAGAGCAAAATATTTGATTTACTTAATAGCTAAGTACAATTAGTTCTCATGCTCTTTATATAAGGCCGCAGTAAATGGTATACATACATAGGCATGTATAAATAAACATTTATATGAATGCATGCAAAGGTATATATGATTTTATTTAGCTCAGCTAATTTAGTTTAAAAACGGGCATACACACCTATTTACAAAATATTACTTGTACATTATCGTATTTAAGGGCTTGCGCATGGAATGTTTCGAATTCTGTTGCTATTTTCTTTTTCTATTTTCTATTTTCAATTTCGTGTTTCTGTTTCTGTGTGCAGCATAACTTTGTTCGCAGCTTTTAGATATATACTCGTTCATTCTGTTTACATCGAACACTGAATCTAAACAGTAACTAAATAACGACTATAAAGTGATTGCCATACAAACTACTCGCTATAATAAATAGAAAACTGAATTATTTACTAACTAAAGCATAGGTATTAAAGTCCAAGTGTGTGTCTGTGGGGGGAGGATTGCTGCAGAGTTGCTCTGTGGAAGCCTGATTGATTGCTTTGCGAGCACCTTTTAAAGACGAACTTAACTAAAGAAAAACTTAGTACAACAAAACAGGAGCGCATTGTACTTATATGGGCGGATTTTGTAAAATATCTTTTGTTTATATTGAGGCTTGGTACCGGAGCTAACTAAATAAGTCGTTCTTCTGGCGGTGGCTTGAGCACATTGTCCATTTCTAGCCTAGGATTACAGTACTCCTGTGCGCTGGGACTGTAGGTGCCACGTGTCGCACGCTTATTGCGTGCCATCACCAGAAACGTGCCCAGCAGTGCACCAGCGATTAACAGCAGGACGACAACAACAGGTATGACAATAATGGCAATGTCTGTTGTCGATGGACCATCATCCTTGGCCGTTATCTAAAGATACATATTGATTAGAAAAGTTTCCTAGAATTGTGCACTCTTTTAACATACCGGCGCTGTGCAGTTCTTGCCCATAAAACCCTCGGTGCAATTGCAGTAGTAATCCGCTTCACCGCCGCAGTTCTCCACGCACTGCCCGCCATTGGCGCAAATGTTTAGCGTGTTGCACGGATCGGTAAAGTTACAGAAGGCGCCACAGTAGGGCTTCTGGCAAATGCACTTAAAGCTGCCCGGCATATTGATGCAGCGTCCGAGATCGCCGCAATACTCCAAGCTCTCGATGCACTCGTCTATGTCGTTTTCGCAGTGCACGCCCTCAAATCCAGTGGACGTACAGTTGCATTGATAGCCACCTACAAGATCGTTACATTGGCCATCATTCATGCAGGGATTGGAGGCACATTCATCGATCTCCTCCTCACAAAGGCGACCCGTATAGCCCAGACTGCACTTGCAATTTGGTATCTGTAAAAGCTAAAAGTTGTAAAATGTATATTCAAAGACCAAATAAATGTAGGCTTACGGAATTTGTGGTCAGACACAAGCCTCCATTGGAGCAGGGTGTCAGCTCGCAGAAGGGCATGTCACATAGTGGGCCTTCAAATCCTGTAGAGCAGGTGCAGGTAAAGTTATTCCCGGTTTGAGCATCTAAAAAGTAAATACAAGTAGGTAAATGTTAATATATCTGTATAGAAAACTGTTTGTTCGGATTGTTTCACACTTTTCGAAAAATCCAACCGAAGGTTTAATGGGCGAAGTTTCGGATAATATGGGCGTGACTTAATTGGGCGGAAAACTTTGATTCCAAGTTTTCAACTTGTCAAAAAACCGGACAAGGCTGACAGTAGATGTACAAGGGACAGCCAATATCCCTGAGGGATATTTTCCACATCGTTTCTTAGAACAATTTTAGAATAAGTATCTAGGTATTACCCGAGTCTTTGGAGGAAATCTATATCGTGCAACCTAATTACAAGATATTGCTTAGGGGCTAGCGTTGAAAACCACAAAGTTGTGGTTCCACGAAGAAGAGGATTCCGATAGTCATGGCAAATACTGGCCAATCGGCCGTATAAGCAAAAGGAGGCGTGATTCTCAAGCTGACTTTTGTAGCAGCTGAATGGATAAGGAGCATACACAGCGGGATAATATTAATGGCACAGGGGCTTTGTTAGTTAGTGAATCTATATATTGACTTACTAAATCCATTTTCACATGTGGAATCATTGCGACAGGGCTCATTTTCGCACGTCATCTGCTTGAGCGCACTGCACTGAGGACCCGTGTACTCGTCGGGGCAGTCGCAGCGGTAGGCAGCGATCAGATCGGTGCAGTTGCCGCCATTGTGACAGGGCTGGGCGGCGCATTCGTCAATGTTCTGTTCACAGTAGCGACCCTCGAAGCCGGGTTGGCACTCGCAATAGAAGTTGGCTACCTGATTGATGCATGTGGAATTGTTCTCGCAGTGCGTGTTGAGGCACTCGTCGATGTCCGTGGCGCAGTCATCGCCCTCGTAGCCCGCCTGACAGGTGCACGCGTATTCGTCGTTGGGTGCATTGCAGTAGCCGCCATTTTTACAGTCCGCTTGGAAGCACAAAATGCAGCCCTCCTCGGGTCGGGTCGAGTTCAGGCGGAATTGTGCATGCAACTGCACGGACACATTCTCTGTGTGCGGGTAGAGTTCGGAATTGGAGAAGTAAGGCAACAGTAGATCACCGACACGCGCCTCACCCAGGCAGCCCTTGAACTGGGAACCCTGCTGGGAGGATTGTGTGGAGCCGCGCAATTGACGCGACTCTGGCATGCCACCCAAATAGACTTGGGTGCTGCTGATGAGTAGATCCTGGAACGCCACTTGATCGATGTCCGTTGAGAAGCCAGGCGTGGGATCTACCATCGTTTCCCAGCCCTTCCAGCCGCCCTCAAGTTTACCGCCGTGTGCACGCAAATAAATGCGATTCCATTCGCCATCCGTGTTCTCCTTCTCGAAGCGCCCTGACTCACCAATGTGCAACTGGGTCAGCTTCCATGTGACAGTGACTCGGCCGCCATTCACGCCAATTTCAAAGAAGCTATCCTGATTGTCAATGAAGAGCAGAGTGCCACCGGCACGTGTGCGATAGGCAATCTCAATTATCGGTTTAAGAGGCGACTGCTTTGTCATGCCGCCAATCTCATCTGGCAGCTGCTCTTTGAAGTAGGAGAAGGCCAGCGGCGAATGTTCCTGGCCCGTGAATGTGATATTAGTTAAGCACTCGTAGCCATCGTCCAGATTCTGGCAGATACTGCCGCCCGGACAGGTGACTAGCTGACAGAACTCAATCTCCTGACAATCCTTGCCCTTGTAACCATTGGGGCATTTACAGCTATAGTCGTTCCATGTGTTGCGGCACTCGGCATTGTGTTTGCATGGATTTTTGCGGCACAAATCGTCCGACACTTCGCCCGGCAGTACCGAAGTACGATCAATGCTGACCGCTCCAAAGGGCTTGGCGTTCACATTTACATCGGTCACATTCAGTGGATACATTTCGACAATCATATTGAGCGAACCATTGCTCACTTTAACATCCTGTATTATGCCCTTGAAGTAATCCTTGCTATCGTCCGACTCCTTGGACGCCGTGCTGCCGCTTACGGGCACGCTGCTCTCATCTAAACCCGGCTCTGTGCTAACTGGCAGCAAAGATTCGCGAGTTGGCGCCGGCCCGCCCAAGTAGAGCACCTGTGCATCCAGCAGACCCGTCGTCGACAGCGTCTTGCGGAAGTACTCGGTACCATTGAGTTTGACCTGCACCAGTGTCTGATTACGCACCACCTCGATGAGATGATTGTAGCCATTGTCCAGCTTTTGTGCACCGACCGTATATGCCTCCGGCGTGCCATTAAACAGCATCTTCACCAGCAACTCACCACCATGCAGCTTAGCTGACACATACGAGTCGCCAACGTCTGTGGGAGAGGCACATTAAGATTGGATTTCACTTTGTTAGAAATACTCACTCTTTGTGGGCAACTTGCGCGGATCGCTTCCCAGGTAGAAGACCTGACCCGTTGGTTCGCGCGTTCGTATAAACATGGATATGTCCAAAATGGAGCGTATGGCGCGTCTGGCTACATCTGTCGTCTCCACAATCACAGCCGAGTGTGTGGTATTCTCATGTCCAAAGGTGGCTGCCGTCATATCTAATGAGAATAGAAGACTTTGTTATGCCAAATACTTGTCATGAACTGTAAACGTGTACTCACTGTGCTGGCAAGTGTGCCCAAAGAAGGGCCTGGGACAGTGGCAGGTGAAGGTGTGCCAAAGATCTGTGCACTCGCCATTGG